ACGCATAGCACCATTCTAAATCAGGTAAATACCCTAAACTTGGGGCTTCGCACGTACAACTATATTAGGGCATTTCTTACGGGCAGAACGGCCACGATCACTGTGGGAGCACTCAGGTCGTCCGAAATAACCATAGGAAGTGCGGGCACCCCGCAGGGTTCCGTGATATCTCCCATGTTGTTTAACCTCACCCTCATTGGTCTTCCTTCAAAACTTCAAACCATCCAAGGACTTCATCACACCATTTACGCCGACGACATCACCCTCTGGGTGTGCGACGGCAGTGACGGTTTCATTGAACAGAGATTACAGGAGGGGATTGACACAGTCGAGCGATATTTACAAGGAACTGGACTATCCTGCTCGGCGGAGAAATCTCAGCTACTGCTATATCGCCCTACACTTAGAGGTCGGCCACCCAAACAACATCCCCAAGCGCAGGCACACGCTGATATAAAACTCAATACAAGCGATGGTCACGCCATACCAACCGTGGACAAAATCAGAGTGCTAGGTTTGATCATAGAAAGTAAGGGTACCAACGGAGAGACAGTTCGCAACATTGAAGCCAGAGTGTCTAACACGATGCGCCTCATTAGGCGCATTACCAATAAACACAAAGGCATGAAAGAGGCCAGCATCATCCGTTTGATCCAAGCGTTTGTTCTAACTCACATCACCTATACAGCGGCGTACCACCGATGGTTCACCGCGGAAAAGTCAAAACTCAATTGCCTAATTAGGAAAATTTACAAACAAGCGCTAGGTTTGCCTCAAAACACCAGCACCGAACTACTCCTTCAACTTGGCTTACACAATACCCTTGAGGAACTTATTGAGGCGCAACAAATCTCCCAATTCGAGCGTTTAGCCAAGACTAAGCCAGGCCGCCAGATTCTATGTAATCTCGGTATTACTTACCACACTCAACACGGAGATAAACACGACATACCACGCACTATCCGTGCTAAGCTAACAGTACCACCCATACCAAGAAACATGCACCCTGAACACAACAGGGGCAGACGTGTCAGTAGAGCCAGGACCATGTCAAAGATGTTTGGGCGCAACCATGAGGCAGTCTTTGTCGACGCAGCACGCTACCAGGAGCGTCACCGCTTCGTGGCTGCTGTCATAGACCACACACAACAATGCAAAAGCAGCGCGTCAATCATAACACGGAACGTAGAAACGGCAGAGGAAGTGGCTATCGCGATGGCCATAGCCCACACTAACGCCTCATGCGTAATAAGCGACTCGCAGACAGCCGTTAGAAACTACGCCAGCGGCAGAATCTCCCCCGAGGCATTGCGGATTCTCAATACAGGCAAAATTCACGAGGCGGACAAATACGTACACATCTTGTGGTTTTCGGCCCACACACCACTAGGTAACGCGGAGGCCAATCCGAATGAAGTGGCGCACAACGTGGCTCGAGGTCTTACGTTCCGAGTCACGTCAGACGAAGCGGCCACCCAAACGGACCTTTCTGCGCCGGTGTGGGAATGGAACGATCGGCTCACTAAATTTAATGACATAATTCAACACTATCGACTGCAAAGGCGGGAGTACCCTCCGCCTCACTCCAAGCTAAATCGGGCCCAGTCCGTTCAGTGGCGACAGCTACAAACACGCACATACACGAACCCTGTCATCATGCACCACATATATCCTGACGTCTATAGTTCTAATCTATGCCAGTACTGTACCACCAGAGCCACTCTCGACCATATACTATGGGAATGTCCAGCATTATTCAGAAATTCTGGGGTCGCGGCCTCCAATGAAGACCTTCGGGCGCGTTGGCGGACTGCGCTGCTCAGTTCGGGCCTGGACAAACAACTTTGGGCGATCCAGCAGGCCAAGGAAGCTGCCGGGAGACACGGTCTCTCCGTTGGCCCCTAGGTGGGAGCCCATCCCAGCAATCTGCCGGAAATTAATAAAGTCTATTTCTCTCTACTTAGAAAACAGCAGGGGCCTACCAAGAAGAATTATCGCTTAAAAAAAAAAGGTGAAGGAAGCTGAGACCGATATGTGGAGAATTGGCATGATTAAGAAGTCCTCACTAGAGATCTATCGAACGTTTAAGCAGGAAATTGCCGAGGAAAGGATCTATGATCATACTCGGGGTAGTTCTCTACTGTTTGAGGCCAGGGCGGGAGTACTGCGAACCAAGACATATCGGGCCAAATAAGAAGGGGTAGACACAGTATGCAGTGCGTGTGGAGAGGAAGAAGAAACTGCCGAACAATTGATAATGTTCTGCAAAGGGCTTCACCCTATAGTTCAGGATGATGGCACAGAGTTTTTCAAAGCACTGGGGTTTAGGGACCGGGAGGGCAAAATAGACTTTAAGCGGGTAGACTTAACTAGAAGGAGGTTATCTGATTGGTGGCTAAAGTCAAGGCACGAGTGAAAATTGAATCCTTCGCTGCAAAGTACGAATCCTCAACCTCACTTTTTAAAGAAAAAAAAAATAAATGTAGTTTTCGGTTCATTAGGTATTACGGCTTGGTGGCCCTAGCCACCGCCCGATCTAAAGGGTACAGCCATATCCCTCCATCCATCCAATCTAAAATGAAGGAGGGAAAGGGTGTGGCAGCTGTTTTTCTTTTCATGCGGCAGGCATCTTCCTAGAGGAGGCGTTGGCCTGGCATATGCTCGCAGGCGCGCGCCGCGCTGCGTTGCTTTGACGCATGCGCGTTTGAGCACGCCCGGCGTCCCTCCGTCACGAATCTAGACGGACGCGGTCGGTTCTTCATTCTATGACGCCGTGCTGTCTGGGTAACGTCGTCGGCGCGAAACGCAGCATATCGCATTTCGCGACAGTTGTCGCCGGGCCTCGCCGACAGACGCTGGTCGCACCAAGCATCAGACTATAGAGTGCTCGAGTTTTGCTAGCGTTACGTCGCTGCGCCCAGCGTACGCGCGCATCAACGCTATGTGCACTCGCTGCTGTTTCGCTAGCTTCACATATACCAAGTTTGGTGTTACGGAACATGAATGTACGACAAAGGTATGTGACTGGTACAAACATGATAATCATGAGATGCATGTCATGTAACAAAATTACCACGTCACGCTCGTGGCCGTTTCGCTAGCTCCACATATACCAAATTCGGTATTGCATGACGAATACACGACGAAGGTAAATGGCACGTCCGAACATGATAATCATGTAATGCGTGTCTGTAAAACATGACTACATGCTACGCTCATAGTGTGCTCGCGGCCGTTTCTCTAGTTACCCGTATACCAAATTTGGTATCACGTGACGTGAATGGACAACGAATGCAAATGACACGTCCAAACATGATAATCATGACAAGCATGTCATGTAAAACTGAACTACATACTACGCTCATAGCACGCTCGCGGCCGTTTCGCTAGCTCTACATATACCAAATTTGGTATCAGGTGACGTGAATAGATTACGAAGGTAAATGACACGTCCAAATGTGATAGTCATCACATGGAAGTCATTTACGGCTTAATTTACCTTCGCCTTATAACACTGTGCTGATTTTGAAGTGACATATTTACGTTCTTCATTCATGCTTTGCATATCATCTATTGTCACTGTTTGTGGGATCTGCCAATTTTCTGAGCTTGTTCCATCATTTGTGGAGAGAAGGGAATTTTTAGCTGACTATGAGAATGTATTATGAATTCCTGGCCACGTGGTGTACTACAATATTTGGCTCGCCTGTTCTCGGGAGACTCTACTACCGATTAGCAGCATTTTCTGACCATGCTCAAAAAGCGTTGCAGGGCCCTTTTAGGAGCTTGAGCAAAACGGGGCTGGAAAAAAGGTTGAAGAGCTGTGGTGAAGCTGCCTAAACGTTCCTTTTTTCCCGCCGCTCTACAGAGCAGAGAGGAAGGCAAAGCATTCAGACACCCCAGATTCACTGAGCTCCCATGCCACAATTGTTAGAGAACCTTCTGCATGCTTTACGATGGTGGTGATTAAACCTTGCAAGTTGGTGGTCCCAAGGTGTTCATCCCATTACCACAACACTATGCGGCCGGGGGATGGGGCGAGGGGTGGGAATTTTTCTTTTGTACAAGTTCGTGATTAGGAAGGTTTCAAAAGGAATGCAGTAAAGAATGTCCCAATTTCCAAAGCAACGGTCTACTAGTTTCCATTCAGTCACCAACCAATGCAAACACAAAGATTATTAGTATGGGCAAGGCTACCACTAACAAAACACTGGTAGTTGCAGTTTAATACTCCATTGCACTTCATTATAGTTAGCTTAAATAACCCAAACAAGAACGCGTAAGACTATGTCATCAAATAGTACGTCAGCCAGTGGAAAGTGCCCAACAGAACTTTATGTTGCACAGGGCCCCTTTCAGCTTCGGACATGGCAAAAGGAAAAGCACAGTGTGTAGATCATCTGATTATCATTGTGCCTGCAATGCATTTGAGACTAATATATGCCATTTGAACAGCAAGAGAAAATATCATCACTCTTCTGAACAGAACATTTCAGTCCTCAAAACAACATCAGACATTTGGCACTTCCATTTCACATGCACAAGATGACCCTTGGAAGTGCACCAAGACAAGCATAATGGCGTACTCCCCAGATCTCCCACCATTTATGCTCCTGAAATAAAACATTAATACAACTGTCCATGCAGTCAGTACTTTCCCAGCCACTGTTTCGAATTTTCTCGCAATCTCATGCAAGGAGCAGATAAAGAGAACTTTTATAGCAAAGCCGTCTCAGTCTACCCTGTGCTGCTGTCTTCATTTAGGTAGTAGCAACAGTGGCAAAGGCATCACACAGGTCGCATGACGAGAGAGGAGTGAATAAAGAAATAATTAAAACAAAGTGACAATGATGTCCCAAAATGAGAATACGCATCTTATTCTACCCCCCACACACTCGCACATTTGCAGCTTTGCAGTGCAACAGCGAATCCAGCCGGTGCGGAACTAGCTGAATATTTTTATTTATAGTCTATGCAAGGATGTTGAAAAAGAAAACAGGATATCCAAACTATATTTTATTGTACGCTTCAAATTTCTTAAACCTCTTAAGCACATGTGATAAGGTACTGAAGAGTCAAAAAGGCCTGAAAGAAATTAATAATAAACTCAGCAAGTCGTTGCATCGCTATGATCACTGCAGCAGCTTTTACCAATGGCCACCATCAACGATCTTCAACGTATTGTTCTTCGCTTGCCAGCTCAATGCAGTTAGTCTCTACTAGGGTGTCGCACACCATCAGATTGATGATGTTGTCTACTGCCACTCCTAGGTTGGCCCCATCAGGTCGTGTGGTCACTGCCACTACTTGTGGAATCATGCCCTGTACTTGTGTAATCATGCCCTGTTGCAGTTGACCTTCCTGCAGCACCACATCCTCTTCCTCTGTTGCCAGGTATGTTTCCTCAGTGTTCACTAGGTTTGGTAACAGGTAGGTGACCATGTCACCGGAAGTGGCAGATTGCGCTGCTCTAGCTGGAGTTGATGCAGCACTGGACCTGATTCAGGAAAATTCAGAAAAAAAACTTTTATTTATGTCTGTTATTAGTACACACATGTGGAAGAAAGTAAAGCAAAAGCTCGCCATTTCAGATTTCATGGGACCCAAAAAAAATGTCAGAATTGCCGAATTATCAGAAGTATCACCAATACAAAGTGTCTACAGTTGAGCTACTTCACAAGAGACATGCACTGGGGAGAAAATCTTGTCTTTTGTATGGAGCGTCTCTTATAAACAGGTTACTGAGTATGCATTTTCATATGAAACACTATTTAAATGTAGGCACACTGGTGTCACTTATACCCATTTGTCTCTCTCACCAGTGTTTCTTACATAGGGTTTTGAATGTATTACATCAATGCATTTTCATTTACTTGATGAATACATAAGTCCAACACTTATTTTGCACAAGAGCTGTGTAAAAGCTGCAATTTTTTCTCGCTCGGGGTTTATTCACAATGTGATCACGGCTCAAGACCCCCACGTCATAAGCCAAAACACACTCTGAATTCATCTCTACATACCACCCACACGAACACCGCCAAACACACGTGAGTATTATTTTTCCAGCAGAAAAAAGGCAGGCAACTGATCGTTCGTCCATCACAATGTAGCAAGCAAATAGCAAGGACGCTACCATAGCGTCCACACAGTTCTCAAGTCACGCATGCAGCCTACACCCGGAGTTGAAACAAAACTGCTCAACACCACATCTGTTGCTGAATAAACCTGACTAGCAAATGCACAATCATGAATGGCGAATACCCAGTTCTGAAGACATGTGGCAAAAACGATACTGCTTGTCACCTTGACACCAGTCGTTACTGATACAACCACAGGTTGGCCATGGAGTATGAAAAACTATGGATAGCACCTATGAAGCTTGCTTGTGCAGAGTAAAAATGGAAACAAAAGAAGTTTGTAGCCCCTGAAGCCTTGTCACCACTGAAGCCTTGGTCGCCCACAATACGACCGTGGCAAGACTTTGGATCGTGACTCCACCTTTCTGAAGCCCCACAACTGTTTCGGTTGTTCGCGAACGCCGTCTTTGCTCCTTGACGTCCCACATTTTCTGTGCTTTGTGCGCTGTGAGGATCATCCGATTAACCAGGTTGTGGCCAAATATGACTGAATTAACGAGGCTTTCATGCTAATAAGCAACACATGTTTACCAAGAAACTCATAACATGTCTGCATTATCCAATTTTGTAAGTTAACAGGGATAGAATTAATGAGCTTTTGTCGTAGCAAAATTTCTTACTATATCTCTTCATTTCTACACATTTACAAATTCGTTAAAGGTCTATGGAAAGGGCGTATGCGTTACTCATTTCTTCTTAATGAAAGAGTAAGAAATATACGCACTACGGCTCAAATTCTAGGCTGCATCAGTGCATCTGCGTACGTACATGCAAAGGTTGTGCATATCCACATCAACAATAAACATGATCAACCAACTAGCCTATTTCAAGATTCCTCTACCTGTGTCTATCTGTCCCATGTTTATAAAACTGGCGTGCGTGTGTCCCACACACCATCCTCAGAAATTATAATCTGATTGACTGATCGAATTCAACATGTCATAGCGATACTTGGGCTATGAAATATGCCATGTTAGAAGCCTTTGGAATAATCTTGGCTCATTATTATTAAATGTGCAGCTACTCGGTGCAACGCTATTCGCCGAATCAATCCAGAAGTTGCGTGCAAGGTCGCTGACAGCGAAGTGCATCATGTGAAAGCTGTCGAGCGATATTGTGTGACTGTGGGCTCCAATGGCACAATTAAGGCTCGCCCTCGTGGGTGCACCGATTTGTAAAGCGGAAGGGCTTTATGCTGAGGCGGCGCACTGCCGGTGTGCCAAAAGCTGCTCGAAGATTTCCATAACAAGCTGGTCCTGAGTGTCACGCGCTTCATCATCGGGCTTCGTCGACAGCATTCCTACATGATGGGACACATGCGCAACGCTGACGAAACTTCGATCTGGTTCGATATGCCTTCAAAGCGGACTGTGACTGCTAAAGGATCCAAGCAAGTGAAGCTCTTGACAACGGCAACGAGCATTCACGATTCACAGTGATACTCGTGTGCACAATCGATGAAAAGAAGCTGCCCCCTTCGAACATTTTCAAAAGGAAGGGCTACCAAAAGAAGAAGACTTTCCCTGGGATGTTATCGTGAGAGCCAACAGAAAAGGGTTCATGAATGAGTACCTCATGCTTGAGTGGATCCGGCTCGTGAGGAATCGGCAACCCGGTGCGCATTTTCAGTGACCGGGCATGTTGGTGTTCCGACTCATTTCGTGGCCACCTCACGGCCGATATAAAGGGAGCTCTGTTCAATGGCAAGACGGACCTTGTTGTGATCCCTGGGGACTAACATCAATGCTCTAGCCACTGAACGTAGTGCTCAATAAAGCCTTCAAAGATCGCACAAACAAGCTCTACAATGAGTGGATACAGGGCGACAATCCGAAGACCCTCGCTGGTCGCCTACAATGTCTGCCGCTTTCGACCGTTTGTGGATGGGTGTCGTCAGCTTGGAAATCTCTCCTGGAAAAAGTAGTGCGTATGTTTTTCCGCAAATGCTACATCAGTAACGCATTAGATGGAACGGAGAACAATGCACTCTGACACGTAACTATGTAGTGAGAAACAGACGTCATCGGACTCAAGTTTGAACGAGTCTGAGTGACAGCACTTTGTGGCCTTCTGGCGTTCAACTACTTAAGATTAGTACCTAAAAACCACAATGTAGCTGAAATTAAGGCTGCAGCGCGAGCACGAATGTGCTAGAAGAACAGACGAAAGTCGAGGCATGGAAGGCAAAGAGGACAACACGAGCGCTGACTACCAACTGAATTTTATTATTCGCAGCACCATGATAATATATACAACAGGAAACCTTTGAACAGCACACGTGAGCAATGTGACATATTCTGGGGGAAGGTTTCTGATAAAAAGAAGGTACAAAATGGCTAACCCTTATCTAAAAGCGCGAACTCTTTTTCATGCAAGGCCAAGAGTTCGCGCATCACCAAAACCGCCGCTGTTCAACAAGCATGGGCCCGCCATTGCTCAATAGCGATGGCAATGAGACCGCCCTGCTTTTGCCACTGGCTTGCTTTGAGTCACAGACGATCCAAAGCTGAAGCTCAGTCGCTCAGTTCATGGTTTCCGTCATGCAGCTGCTGGGTGCAAATGCGGAACGATGCATTTTCCCGATTCTGATGCTTATCATTATGTTCGCGCTTGGCCAGTGCGACGACTATTCAGAGTGGCTGTTCGTCCACATTATCAACAGCATCAGCTAACCGCGAGTGATGGATGATAAGGATGGCATAGAATAATTCAAAAGTCGCCGCTGCACAATACCCTGTCTCTATCTCGGCGTGGTTGGATACTTTTGACGGCCGACAGCTGCTGGTGTTAACGTGTTAATGCAACTGCTTGGTTCGTTCACAAAGGCGGTTTTAGGCGTTGTTTCAGCGTGCTTTTGACCATGGCGTCGCTATGCATGGGCGACAATGGTGTCGCGACGTTGCTGGGAAAGAAGAGGAAGCAGCGGACATTTTTTCAATTTAAACGTTGCTTTGTTTTGCTTGCTCATATAAGCTATCTTCTTTTTCGATTTCACTGCAACGAAATTTTCGCTTCAGCGAAATTTTTTTCGCGCCCCGTCGGTTTCGTTGTAGCGGGGTTCGACTGTATTCCGGTCCTGCCTATATTCTGTTTTTTTTTTTATGGTACCTTCATAACGAATTTCAGCTTATAACAATTTTATTTTGGTGTGAGATGCAACTTTGCTATGAGTTTTGAGTGTAGTTATGAGTTTGACTGAGGACTGAATCACTGACATCTAGTCCGTCACCCCAACTATACAGCTACGGAAACGAGCAAAAGTGAGGTGCACGTACAAATAATAATCTTTACTATAAATCCAAATGCAAATGAATGAACACATCCCTAAAGCAAAGAGGGACTCCCACAACTCACGTTGAGCGCCTGGGTGCTGCAGGCTGTGCACAGGTGCGAAGTGCCTTGTGGGCTGCCTGCAGATGTTTTCGCAGCTTTGTTTTGGACACGCAGCCCTTGGAACAAAGGGGGCATGTTTCCCGGAAGGCACGGCTATGCTTAAGGACCGTGTGCTCTCGCAGTATGCTCGCTTGGCCAAAGCTGGCGCCGCACTCTTTGCAGGAGAATGGGCGCTCACCCGTGTGCGTGCGAATGTGCACCGACAGGCCCATCATGGACACGAAGCTTTCCTGGCATATCTGTGCGTCACACATAAAGAATCAATGATCACTTCATATAGAGTAAGCCATCCCATTGCCAATTTTGGCAATAGGTTACATAAAAAGAAACACAAATTGAGTGTTAAAAGACAATGTGGCAAGTTTGTTGCAAAGTCATGTTACTCTTTCAGATTTATTCTAACAGAATTAAATAGCCATCATTAAGATTAACAACCCTAATCAAACCTGAAGTTGCATAGCTGCAGTATAGTATAAAATTCTCAGCAAAGCCACAGCAAAACTCCTTGTCATGCTTCCACCAATCCCTCTTACCTCACAGGTGTATGACTTCTTGTCTTTCGGGCCCTTTCCATGCAATGCCATCTTATGGGCAGACAGGCTGCTCTCGTACTTGAAACGAAAACGGCACTGGTCACACGTGAGTGTGAAATTTCGACAGTCTTTCCTCTCTTTAATGACTTTTGGAGGTATGCTTGGGCAAGTCATCACCGTTGTGCCATCAGGAGCTGCAAAAATGTGACGTCTGTTTGCTCTTTGCACCAATGATGAAGAACAGATAAAACAAACCCGCCTGAACAGTAGCCCCTTAGAAGTTGTAATTTCTAAAATACTCATGACAGTCTAAAAGCTGCCAGAAAAATGCCTTTGCCCACACTGTTTAATGTCAGCAGCCATAAGGGGTCAGGTGAAAACCATTATGATGGAGAATCGCAACTATTGTTTATTATGAGGCACAATTACAACTGCTTTTCTTAATATTTAGACACAGCAAGAGCAAGTGAACATACAAAGTGCTTAGCTCACCAAGTTCACACGTGTCCTTGAATGTTACATTTTTCATTAGTCACCCACATGCTCTTTCCTGGCTCTATCACCAAAAACACAACCTTGTGATGCTTTTCCATTTTGCAATTCAGAAGTATGCATCAGAACCAATCAGACTGAATCTCTGATTACACGAATTTGTTTCCCTTAAAATTAGTATACTTCAAAACTAACCCCAAACAAACTGTTAACACTCAAAAGCTTAATTACCACATATTATTGTCAATATACTATAACTATTTTGTTGAATTTCTGCTGTATGTACTGCGAATGAAATCAAGTTGGAAGGTTCATCTGTAAACTGAGGTGCACCCCAACAGACAAATTGTTGGCTGAAGTTGCAGTCTTTAAGGGGGCCCTGCGACAGTTTATCAGCACGGTCAGAAAACGCTGCCAAACGGTAGTTGAGGCTCCCGAGAACAAGTGAGCCAAACAATACTGCGCAGTACGCGGGCTGGAATTTACGATTAATTTTCAAAGTCTGCTAGGAATCGCTCGCTCTTCTTTTTACAAGTGATGTTATCAACCTAAGTGACCCGGCCATAAGCACAAGTCCACAGCCATTGGTTGATTTGAGCATCACGAGTTGCACAGTTACCACGGCCCGCTGCAACATGCCCGCATGCTAGCTTGCAATCACAGTGAAAGTGAGCCCCATGTTCAAAAAAAAAAAAAGTGCTCAAGATCACGAGGCACGTTAACAAATGAGCACAGCTTGCTGCCCCCCTTTCCTACCCTCGCCCGCGCTTTCAGCACGCTCACTGATATGAAAAGAGAGAGACAGCGCTTGTTACAACGTGTGACACATCCCTGTAACTCCACTCGTACTCGACAGATTCTATAAATGTTTGCGGCAGCCAATTCTTGAGGCAATAAACTTCTTTAATCAAACCATTCAATGACTATTTGGAAAAGTGTTGCAGGGGTCACTTATGCAAAACTGAGTGACCCCTTTGGAATATCTGACAAATTTTATTGCAGTGTCATGCTGAAAATGCAATGCAAGGTGAGGCTGCTTGTAATACAGTCCAACTGAGGGCAATTCTGAAGCATGGCACATGGTCGCAGCCAAATATGTCGGTTGCCACCAAGTACACAGCCAACTAGTACTAATTTAGCAAATACAGTTGGTTCAGTTGAATGTACAGACCAACTTGAAATCCAGGTTTCCATGTTTTAGAAACAGTCTTTGAATAAAAAAAAGTGTTGCAAGCCAAAAACTTTCAATTCAGGATTCTTTTGAGACAATGCAAGATTTTTAATAATAAAACCTTCAGATACAACTACATTATTCTACATGGAGAATACTGCCCTGTGGTATATTCGAAATGTTCATCTTTTTTTATGAAGTTAGTGCAGCAGCAAGACCCGCATTTCAACACTGGACTGCTCAAAACAATTACTTCAAGAAAGTAAAGGCTTGAAAACAAAATAAAGGGATATGGCACAAAGTGAGCGAATACACACATTGCGCGGTGTACATCTCTTCGTGCTTCGCCAAGTGGTACGTAGTGGCAAACAAACGAAGGCAGGTTTTGCAACGCCGATTGCTGGCACTTGCGTGCGCCTCGCTGTGGTTCTTGAGCATGGCCTCACTCTCAAACAGGCGCTTGCATGTGGTGCACTCGTGGCCTCGACCTTCCTGCAAACGAAACGTCACAATGTGAACACTCACAACTCAGCTACGGGTCAAATTAAGCCAAGAAAAATTCAACAGGGCCAGTCCTGACAGCCAATTGTGAAGTTTCCACCATTTTACACAGCCCATGTCAGCAAAGCGCAATGCATTGTGTACTTCAGCGTGCCGGTCTAAAACGCACCACACCTGGCGAGCCTTGGTCAGGCAATCTTAGTCTCCCACAAGGGCCAGGACAGTACAAGCTTGAAGCAGACGGTGAAGGGGACTTTGAACATAGTATAAGCTAACATTGTTTTTTGAAAGAGGCCTTTCTCATATCTCATATATGGGTCACTTCTCATGGGAATTTGGTGTTGGCATTCGAGAAACATAATAATTATCTGCAGAATTACTGAAATCTGGACCACAATTATGTGTGACGTACCATATTCACTCGTATATTTATCACACCCCTACAGTGCCCAATAAAAATATGATTTTTTTTCCCGTGAGTAATTATTGCACACCCAAAAATTGCAGCCGTAACGTCGCCTGCTCCTTCCAAACACTGACGATGATAGTGCACGACAGCCTGGCGCCATCTCTTATGCATACTATTAATGCACAAACCCTCAATCCAATCCATGCCAAGCCAAAGTGGCAAGTGCATGTTGCGTCGTATTAGTGCACGTTGTGTTCGTTCTGTGGTTATGCATTGGGTGATACGGAACATACACGGCTGCTTTCAAGTTGAAACTGATTGGTCAAGCACTAAACAATAGCATTAAGACCCCTGTAGGCACTTTGGAGTCGACGAGTTTTGTGTTGGCTACCGGCGACGGCGGCACGGCCAGCTGAAAGCCACCAAGACGTGCTGGGCCTTCCATGTGCCTAAGACAGGGATGGATTGTAAAACAATTTTGTCGGAACTTAACTGCGGACAATTCCGTGTTATATGGCCAACATCCCAACGTTGACGTCATACGCTATACTTTTGCGGGCTTACAAACAGTTTGTTAACATTTGTAACCATTCAATTACGAACGTTAAAGTTACCCCTGCAACACCCGCAAGCTTTCCATTCGGTATTCAAGAACTCGGTACTAGTACTTAGGTACTTGCAGCTTTCGTGCCACAAATTAATCTTGCATTGTGTTGAACATGTGGTTTTATTGTTAAGATAAGTCTTTATTAGTACTTCTCAAAGCTTGTATAGTAAAACCTCGTTAATTCGAACTCGGTTATTTAAAAATTCCGCTTAATTCAAAAAATTTCTTCCGCGGTGCCATATTTTGCAATGTAAGTTTGTGTGCAATGTAAGTTTGTGTGAAGCAGCGGCCGGCATGGGTGCAATGTGCCAGTTTCGGATCCCAGTTTCACCGCAAATCTGCCGAAACAACAGCCCTTAATAGACACAAGGCAATGAACATAGCGACACTAATGAGTGTTAGCTGGAGCACCCCAGCCTCGCTATTCCAGCGCAAAAAACAAGAAGAAAAAAAAACGGGTTTGTGGTCAACCAAACATGTGCCTGCGGAAAACTGGACATGCTTCACTGCAAGACAGCAGGGACGCGCGAGCAGCATATCTCGTGTTTCTAGCAATGTCAGCTGGTCATGGTTAACTCATTCTTTCTGGGATCGTAAGAAAATTAATAAAGGACGGTATGGCGGAATTCGCGATGTATGCGAACCTCCAATTGCCGGTTTCTCCAGCAATTCACACCTTTGCACAGCTGGCAGAGTTCGTGCCAGCAACACCAACTTCGCAAACTAAGTTCGAATGTTTCAAAAATAATTTTTCTTAGCCAGAACACATCACGAGTTTCGTCACACTGGCCATCATTAAATTCCTAATTATACCAGAAATAATGTGCGAATGGTCGCATCATGACGTGCCGACGCAGCGAGGTGCAGGCGACACGCTGCTCGCGTGTCACTACTGTATTGCAGCGAGGATGTCTTGTTTTGCGCAGGCACGCATTTTAGTTGACCACCGAGGGTTTTTTTTCTCTTTTTTTTTTAGTTGTAGCAGCGAGGTCCACCATTCCCCCATGTTTGCGGTAAAATTAAGACCAGGTATTGCTGGAAAACATAACCCTTGGAGCAGCTAGCTATCAGGCACAGCAAATGACGAGCACTGATTACTTTGAACAGTTCTAAACTCCTTGCCTCCCACTTTTTGAATGTTCTGTTAATTCGAAAACCCGCTTGATTCGAAGATTTTTCGCGGCCCTAGTGACTTTGAATTAACGAGGTTTTACTGTAGTTAGTTGCTCGTGTAAGAATCCCAATTTGCGGCCCCTTCGTTTTTTTCTTTATGCTCTGTATGTTTTCATTGAAAAATTTTCGCATGTATTCCTCGCACCCCAAACTTTTCATCGGTTTTCTGCGAAGAGAAGAGGCAGGATTACATGAGTAAATATAGTTGCTTTTGCGCCATGGTTATGGTCAAGTTTTAACATATGGTCACCACATAGGCTGCCTCATGAAAGAAATACTTGAGACCAGGCACGTCCGTGTAGCTTATGAACATGTTGTATTTACTCGATTGTATTGCGAGGGACCACTTTTCGTGTCCAGGAAGGAAAAGTAATTATTTCGGTCTTTGATTTTGATGCAAGTGTCGACTTTAGGTTGCCGAAATCAACAAAAAAAACTTTTATTACATTGACGTAAATACAGTACTCTTGAATAAAATGAAATAAACATATGAGATAAAGTCACTTGTGGATCAAGCTGTTAGCGAGATAATTGCAGGATGTATGCTGCCCACAGGCAGTGTTGTAGCCAAAAGTGGCGCACCGAGCTCGTGCCCCCCTTCCCCAGTGAAATTTTTTTTCCACGGCATACAGCGTGAAAATTCACAATTTCAAATAGGTGTTCCCCCCACCCACCCCCAACGTGAAAAAAAATTTCTGCCTATGCCCTGCCCACAAGCCACATGTTTAAGTTGAAAATAATGACAAATTACAAATCCCATTTTGTAAAATATGGCACTTCTTATAGGAAGCAACCTAATGGCACTTCTCATCAGCCCAGTGGCCCCAGCGACATTACATCGTACGCAAGTTCTCCATTGCTTCAGTCTCTGCCTTCCTTCAAATTTCTAAATCGTCAAGATTCGTAGACCTGTTGTGGTTTTGCACCAGCCGACATGGCAGCAACCTCATTCATAGCTTATATCAGCACTATCACTTGCAGGGTTTGTGCAGGAAACTATCCGACATAATTGCCACTTAAGAGATACCAAATCAGGAAGGGAAGAAATATGAACATGATGACACTGGCACCCCTGGTGTGTTACAGCAAACAACATTAGGCCACAAGCAAGCTCACTTGATTAGTGAAACACTACGCAGCATCCGGAATTTGGGTTAGCAGCATTGTGCGGCGACACGAAGCATAGGTGGCAAGCTGCAATAAGTTTCAATGGTGCCACAGCTACAAAAAAACCAGCCATTTGAAATGTTTGCCATTAAATGCATTAGGTATTTTTTTATTATAACTTACAAACCTCTAGACTCCATAAACAAGTTTCCTTTGCTATAACTCATCCCTTACCACATATCACATGCTCCACTTTGTTGAAGTAAATGACAATTTTACCACATATTAAACATGGCCCCCTAAATGTTATATTGCCTTGTTTTCTGCAATGCAAATTGTTATAACTTCTAAGCTGGATGTCTGAGCATCGACAGAGAAAAGCAAGGTAAAAGAGTACGTGCAAACTCTCAGGATGGTTCTAAAAATTAAACACAGCATGTGACATAATGAAGCATGCTATGCAGCTGCCTGGAATTTCAGAGATGAGTCAAAGTGTCACGCCTTGGCAATGCGTAATAACCAACGGTAGAATGTCAGTGTTAGTCAGCACCCGGTGAACTATTTGATGACGTTAGCTCCCTGTTTACGCATTGCACTCAGGCTAGTGCATATACATGGCAGCTGAGCCAGAACGCTGGTGCAATTATGCTCACAATGCCCAGGCCAGTATCAGAAGGTATAATGTTGTCCAAGTGTGACCCCAGTGCTAATGAACTTTGCCCATAGTGTTAATCTAGCCTAACCTAACCCGAAATAACATATGTAACCTAATACTCTGCACAAAAATGCTGTAATAGAGGGAAGTCATAGCAATGGAAAAAGTGGAGGCCCCATTACGCCATCTTTGAGCATCCGAACAGTTGGTAACGTGATAAAATAAAAACAATACCTGATGCATGCTGAGGTGCACTCCATAGAGTTTTGGGCAAACAAAGCTACGAGGACAGTGGGGACACTGCTGGCGGCCAACAGAGCCATGCTTCAATCTCTGGTGTCGTGTGAGTTCGGCTATTTGGGCAAACTGGCTCGGGCACTGCTGACACTGGAGCATCTCTCCGTGCTTGCGACGCATGTGTGCCACCATGCTGCGCCGGTTGAAGGTCACGTAGTCACACTGAGCGCAGTGTTTCTTCAAGGGCTCCAGTGATGCCTGATGGCGATGAGAAAAAAAAAAGAGCTTAAAGACAAGCACTACTTCTTGAAAGCAACCTTTCAAGCCTGATGCTTCAGGCAGTAGGCGTGTTTTATACGACTACACCAATTCAACGCAGCTAGAAAACACAAACCTGTAGTACATGGAGAGAGTGGTGAACTCTATCTTATTAAGAGCTCTTTTACTGAACCCTTATCGACGGTAACACATCACTTAGTAAGAAAATTGTGTAAATTTGTCAGCCGTCCACCCATGTTTAGTATGCCAAAGCAGAGACAATGTTCCTTAACTGTTAATAAAAAAAAAAATAGACCTTTGCAAAATCGCAGAGGGTAGGTGTGGTATACGCAGGTCAGTACAGCTAGTTTTGTTTCTACATTGTTACTGAGTGTATATTGTGTAAGGTTAAAGCTAAGTGAAAAAAAAACTAAGTCCTTGTTCATGAGCAAACTAGCCCACGGGAAGGTACCTATAAATGTAGATGCTAATTTGACTACTGATTTCAAGCACAGTTAATTTGACCTCCACTCGTCAAAAATGGCATAAAAGATATTTTTGTGGCTCTTAAATGCACGAAGTTGGGAAGTGCATTTTAAAGGCTTACTTTATCAGAAACTCTACTTTACAAACTGCACTACAAGATGAAAAGAAACGAGCAGCATCAAGATAATCCAAGCATGCAAAGTTCATCACCATAGTTATCGCAACATATTTATCACAATATATAATGACGGTACTAGTTTACATGTACGAGCTTACTTTACTCTGGTATAGGACTAACATACAGCAGGACTGGCAGTTGGCTAAATAGTATTAGCATTTATTCGAGAACATGTACTGTAGTCTAAAAACCAGGCTGGAGCATTAAAAAATGGAGCAAGTGCACAGAAGTGTAAAAGTTATACAACTGAAGAAAGCAAACCTAGTGTAAACAGATGATAAAGATCACAGAAAGAAGTTGGAAATAATAAGTCTGTAAAAATCAACTCCTCACAAACATAAAAAACACAAGTGCATCACATATGTTTAAAAGCTTCAATTGAACAGACAACGTTATGCCATTATTGACCATGAACTTTACGCTAAGTGCGTTTTTCAGTACTACTATAAGGAGTTTCATGCTGTGAGAGACCATCCCCTGTCTCTAATAAGAAACTTGGAAAATGCTCCTATAGACACAAGCAACAACTATATATCATGTCAAAAAACAGCAATTAAGCAGTTACATCATGGTTTAGTTAATATAAATGTATATGAATGTTTGCAGGAGATAGCATCGAACAGGCTGCATGAACTTCAATGTAGTCAGTGAATAAAGAAGACTGAGATCTATCACACCCTAGATCAAGCATATTTGCCATTTCTTTTTTCTTTTTTTTCATTTAACTTAGTTTTTTTGGAGCACTTGATCATTCCTACATTCCATGCATTCTTTCAAAAAACCATTTTGTTGCAAAAAAAAAAAAGACAAGGCAAGAAAGGGAGCAATAAAGCCAGTATCAGAACCTGGTATATCCCCCCCTACTTGGATTTGAGCACCTCCCAAACAAGCGCCACCTATTTCCAAAATTTATTTTTTAAATCTGGATTCCACAAAATAAAGACAAACCTACTGTATACCCTTGACCAAGATAAGTAAAATATCCAAATGGAGATCAACCTATAGTTATTTATCATGGTTCGTTTCTGGCACTCCGTTGTCATTGGAACAATATAATGTTAGTGACAATCACAGGCTTAAGAGCTCCACGAGTTGCAGCAGCAAAAAAAAAAGGGTATACTGCACTAGTCTAGTTCATATTAAATTTGCTTTAATCTGTGGTATACTATACTAGTTGAGTTCAAAATATATCTGCTTTAACATGAACCGAAAAGTTACTGTAGGGTCACCTTGGTTTCACGGTGTCATGCTACAGAAACACACTGTTCTAAATACTGCTGTAGCTGTGTTGCCACTACACAAACAGTCTCTAGAACAGTACGAACTGCCAAACTTAAACCCGAGACTATGGAACAAAACCATAAGTTCAGAGACTTGGTGTGGATCCATCATAACCACAAAAGCAGCGCGGCAAAAAAGAAAGAGAGTGAGGACAAGTACAGAACGATTCAGAGCTTGTGTTCGTCATTTTTTAATTGTCTTCCTCTTCCTTTTTATTTTGCTGTTTTTAGGTTGAAGACAAACTATGGGTCTACCCAAAGATGTAGATAGAATCTCTTACCTTCTCTTCTTCAGATAGCTCATCTAGAAAATAAAAATAACATATTGTCAATTCAATTTGTTTGGCCCAGATCCACTGATCTCTTGATACTACATAAACACATAACAGAATATTTGCAAAAAAAAATATCATGTGGCAGTGGAGTGAGTTTCTACTTGAAGACAACTCATTCAAATCATAAGAAAATTTTTCGCTGGGCAAGTTGGTTCATAATGCTAGACTGCACAGCACAAATTCATTACTAGACTTTCCTACATATGTACACTGTACAGCCAGCATGTGCAAGCACACTGGACATTATAACCACAAAAGGGAATATGGCCAGAACGCAGCTCAGAACATGAAATCTAAATATTTCTTTTTTGCTTGTGCAGCACCAGGTAAATGTCACTGATACAATCATTTCCTTTCTTTTTGCTATGATGCGCTTCCAGAGGCTCCCTGGCCACCAAATTCCTTGTTTATCCCAAAATTTGAAAACTGGTAAGCTTTGGATCACACAGGATCTACAAGACATAAGTGAATGAAGCGATGCATCATTCAAAACAGAGGGCTCGGGTTCCCATGCTCAATAATTGATGCATCGACCGGTTTGTTTTACACAAACTTTTCCGAAAATCAGCAGAATCTCAAACACAACGGCTACAGCACATGCAATGTAAGGTCTTGCATGCTTCTTTCCACATTTCAATTTCCTCGCGGATCCAGGGGTGCATGGGCACAGCCTATCTAGTTTCATTGTCCCATACTAAATTTGCACTCTGCAGTTTGGCTTTCAAATCACATGATACATTTTAGCCACTTTTTCCAGAAGCAGGCTTTTCAAAAGCAAGCAAAAGTGTGATGTTCCAAAAACCGGGAACTTTGTTACAGCTGAGCCCCTTTATAAGAGGAACTGACATAACGCACGAAAGGGTATAAGAGAAACTAGTGTGCATAGATCTATATAGCATTTGACCACAAAATGAGAATGTGGTAGCCTGCTGATAAGAGACTCTTCACAAAGGGACAAGAACTGCTTTTTGATGCATGCCTCTTATAAAAGAGCTCAACAGTATCATTCCGAATCCAACAACCTTCCAATGGTTAACAGCCTTTGATGATTGAAATCTCACACACGCAAAAAGGGTTAGAACTCGGGCCATTAAGAACCACAACACACATGCATTTTTACGGGTGAAAGAATATCATAAATATTAAAAATTTCGAATATTTTTCTAATAGTGTTTCTTATTCAATTCCATTCACACCGAAATTTTACTATTCGAACTTTGTGAAGACAAATACACTTGACATTCGTGCGACAGTGGCCCCTTCATATTTTCAAGATGCTTCACCCCATCACACACTCATATTGCTGCAAAGCTGCGTTCCAGGCTCTGCTACGATCGCAAATGTCTTGACTCGAGGAAACGCCGGTTCCAACATGGAGATGACAGAGGTGACAGAGATAGGTGGCTCAATTAATACTGTTTTGAACCTGACAATCGGACAGAAAGTCCGAAAAAAATCGACGCCAAAGATTTTTAGCATCTGATATTTCAGGTATTTTCCGTATATATTGTTGTCTACCAGGCAGACTTGGAGCTCTGGACTCACAGGGAGCACACTTTTGTCCACCATATCAGCTAGGCTTCCACAAAAGTTGAAAGAGAAGGAGAAGCTGAGGAAATAGCAACACTGCATTTCAAAAATGAAGTGTTGTCAGCGACACATTGGTTGCACCAAATCATGTAAATAAATACAATTCGAGTCCTGCATTGCCTCATTTCAGATAAGACAACTGTGAAACACCACCCTGCCAGTGCTTCATCAACCTAGCCAAAAGAAACACGTTCACATTGCTATCTCATAAGGCACGGAAGAAGGTATAACATGGAGAAAATTAAACACGCTCTGAAAAACGGAGGAAGCGTCAAAGCAGTGAAGAGGAAACTTGGGATAGGCAAAAATCGGATGTATGCACTAAGGGACAAAGGAGGCAAAATAACTACCAACTTGGATAGGATAGTTAAATTAGCGGAGGAGTTTTACAGAGATCTGTACAGTAGCCGGGACAACCACGACCGTAATACTATAAGAACTAGCAGTAACCCAGATGACACCCCACCAGTAATGATAGAAAAAGTTAGAAAAGCTTTGGAGAGCATGCAAAGAGGCAAAGCTGCTGGTGAGGATCAGGTAACATCGGATCTGCTGAAAGATGGAGGACAGATTGTGTTAGAAAAACAAGCCACTCTGTTTACGAGGTGTCTTCTGACGGGAAGAGTACCAGAGTCTAGGAAGAACGCTAACATCATCTTAATACATAAGAAATGAGATGACAAGGACTTGAAGAATTACAGGCCGATTAGTTTGCTCTCTGTAGTATACAAGCTATTTACAAAGGTAATTGCTAACAGAGTAAAGAAAACATTAGAATTCAATCACCCAAAGGAACAAGCAGGATTTCGAACAGGCTACTCAACAATTGACCACATTCATACTATCAATCAGGTAATAGAGAAATGCTCAGAATATAACCAACCACTATACATAGCCTTCATAGATTACGAGAAGGCGTTTGATTCAGTTGAAATATCAGCCGTCATGCAGACACTGCGGAATCAGGGCGTCGATGAAGTATACATAAACATCCTGGAAGAAATCTACAGGGGATCAACTGCTACCATAGTGCTTCATAAAGAAAGCAACAGAATACCAATCAAGAAGAGTGTAAGACAGGGGGACACAATCTCCCCAATGCTATTTACCGCGTGCTTACAGGAGGCTTTCAGAAGCCTAGAATGGGAACAGTTAGGGATAAGAGTTAATGAAGAGTACCTTAGTAACCTGCGCTCCGCCGATGACATTGCATTGCTGAGTAGCTGAGGGGACGAATTACAACTTATGATTACGGAGTTAGACAAGGAGAGCAGAAAGGTGTGTCTTAAAATTAATCTGCAGAAAACGAAAGTAATGTACAACAACCTCAGAAAAGAGCAGCGCTTCGAGATAAATAATAGTGCACTTCAAGTTGTAAAAGACTATGTCTACTTAGGGCAGGTAATAACCGGGGAGCCGAACCACGAGATTGAAGTAACTAGAAGAATAAGAATGGGGTGGAGCACATTTGGCAAGCACTCTCAAATTATGACAGGTAGATTGCCACTATCCCTCAAGAGGAAGGTATATAACAGCTGTATCTTGCCGGTACTTAGCTACGGAGCAGAAACCTGGAGACTTACAAAGAGGGTTCAGCTTAAATTGAGGCCGATGCAGTGAGCAATGGATAGAAAAATGGTAGGTGTAACCTTAAGAGACAAGAAGAGAGCAGAGTAGATTAGGGAACAAACGGGGGTTAAGGATATAATAGTTGAAATCAAGAAGAGGAGATGGACATGGGCCGGGCATGTAGCGCGTAGACAGGATAACCGCTGGTCATTAAGGGTAACTAACTGGATTCCCAGAGAAGGCAAGCGGGTAAGGGGGAGACAGAAGGTTAGGTGGGCAGATGAGATTAAGAAGTTTGCGGGTATAAATTGGCAGCAGCAAGCACAGGACTGGGTTAAGTGGCGGAACATGGGAGAGGCCTTTGTCCTGCGGTGGCCTAAGTGAGCCTGACGATGATGATGATCTCATAAGAATATGCTCAGGAATCCTCTGCGACTTTTTTTCCTGCAATTTCGCTTCAAAATATTAGAAAAATATTTGCTTCAATTCACGCTCACATTTCAACATTCCAATTCACTTTGCACCCTAAATTTTACAATTCGCAAAGACCTAACTTTAATACATGACATACACTTATGGTTTACTATTCAAGCACCTTGTGCTATAGCATTGTGATGAGGGCCTGAAGCAGCTGCTGTAGGAGCAAGATGCTACTCACTTATGTGCGACAACGCCATGTGATAACGAAGCTCGAGGAGGTTCTTGTAGCGCCTGAAGCAGAGCTTGCAGGCATTCACCAGACGTGAACTGTAGTGGGTGTAAAGCACGTGTCGACGGCAAGCAAGGGCATTCTTGAACGTCTTTGGGCAGTCCGGGCACTTGGACGACTTTGGATTGTGCTTTTCGTTTCTGTAAAGGAGCGAGACCGATCAAGCTCTAAGGGCAAGCATAGTTGTGCACCTGTGAATTATTGTAACTGTACTAATATTTCCCATGCAACAACATAAGTTTGATCCATAATGTACTCCGCAAAAAATGAACGGAAACATGAAAGGAGAGAAAAGGACAGATATCTACGAGAAATCTGAGTCTCACTTTGTCGTCTTACATAAAAAGTCAAATTATCTTGGTCCTGTATGACAGGCGTGCTATGCTTGATGTGGCCTAGATTCTTGTTGGTTTGGTTCCTCATGCTCTTTTTTTCTCCTCCCCCTTTGTCCTCTCTTGCTCTTTATCCTGTCCTTTATATTGTTACGCACAAAGAGGTCCAGGGCGTACATGGCTGAAAGGGCCGTTTATTTTGGTCGCGAAGAGAAGTGCCGGAACAGCCAACAGGTTGATGATCGCAGCGTCATCATCTTCCCTCTTGCTCCAGCTTGGGGCAACCAGCACGTTCAGCCACCTTCGTTTTCTTTCCAGGCATGCGCAACATTCTTCCCCTCGCAGACAAAGCCCGCTGGACGAAGTAATTGATTCACCTTGGTGTGTACAACTTCAGTCGAGCGACATGGACTGCTTGTGTTTTAGCGGCTCCTCATTCACTTCTCGTGAGGCGAGCTATATTGTACGTGACTTTAGTGATTTTGTTGAGAACAACAAACGGTCAGTCATATGTGGCCGAGAATTTTCGGCATAACCCACATCTTCGTACCGGAGTCCAGAGCCACACTAAGCCACCTGGATGGTAAGTTACAGGCCAGTGGCCGACGTCGTAGCGTGCTTTCGATTTTTCCTGTGTTGCCAAAGTGCAAAGACGAGCAATAAGACGGGCCTCGTCTGCAAGGCAGAGGATTTTGGCCACAGAGAGGTTCTCGTGCGTCGAGAATGGAAAAGTGTGTCAAGTGTGTGCCGCGGCGGTCGTGCATACATCAAGAAAAGGTGGCTATAGCCTGTTGTCGCGTGCTTAGCGATGTTGAACACGTATGTTATAAATGATAGCACGTCATCCCAGTTCTTGTGGTCGGATGCCACATACATAGAGAGCATGTTTACAATTGTTCAGTTGGTGCGCTCCGCGAGCCCATTTGTTTGCGGATGGTATGGCGACGAGTGACGAAGGTGGGACTCGCTTAATCGAAGCAGCTCTTCTACTATATCTGCCGTGAATTGTCGCCCACGATCACTGATGATCACGTGAGGTGGGCCATGTCGGAGGATGACGTGCTGCAGCAGGAACACAGAGACGTCACTCACAGTTGCGGTTGGTATGGGCACCGTCTCGCAGTAGCGCGTGAGGTAATCGACGCATACAATTATCCAGCGATTGTCCTTAGCCGACTTTGGAAAAGGGCCCACGAGGTCAATGCCCACTTGTTAGAAAGGTGTGTCTGGAGGTGGCAAGGACTGTAGAAGACCAGCCTGGAGCAGTAGATGGGCGTTTGTGGTGTAGACACTGCGTGCAGGTGGCCACATACACCTCGACGGACTGTCGCATTCCCGGCCAATAAAAGCATTCCTTAGCACGGTAGAGCTTCCGCGCAGAACTTAAATGTCCGAACGTAGAATACTCGTGCATAGCCCTTAAAATCGTTGTCCAAAGGCTTTCTGGCACCACCAGGAGGAAACGAGCGCCAGTGCTGGAAAAGTTCTTATGCAGGAGTCTGTATGCCATTTCTGTATGCCATTTCTGTTGGCATGCCATTTCTGTACACAGAAATGGCATGCCGTAGGAGCTGTGCAGAGCGATGATAGTCTGGTGTCTTTTCGCTGTTCGTCTATGAAAGTACTGAGGTCGGGAAACTTTGGTGACACAGAAGCTACGAGGTGGTCGAGGTCATCGGCGTCACACTCTGTAGTGCTCAGTGGCATGCGCAAAAGGCAATCTGCGTCGGCATGTCGTCGACCGCTTTTATACGAGACTATGAACCTATACTCTTGGAGCCCAAGTGCCCAGCGCGCTAGACAGCCGCAAGGGTCCAGAAGGTTGACGAGCCAACACAATGAGTGGTGGTCGGTGACAACTGTAAAAGGGCGTCCATAAAGATAAGACCGAAACTGCCAAATCGCAAATACTACCGCGAAGCATTCTGGTTCTTCGACAGTATAATTCTGCTCGGGCCTACTCAAGGAGCGACTTGCGTATGCAATCATGTGCTCACGATTACCGTAGCGTTGAACTAGGATTGCACCAATTCTTATGCCACTGGCATCCGTGTGCAGTTTTGTTGGAGCTGATGGGTTGAAGTGTTGAAGAACAGGCCGCGACGTCAGGAGGAGCTTCAGTTGACAAAAATAGGAGTCGCACTCCAGAGTCCACTCAAAGGGAATATTCTTATGTAGAAAATATGTCAGCGGATACGCGACATTGGCAAATTTAGGTATAAAGCGGCAAAAATATGAGCAAAGCCCAAGAAAACTACAGAGTTCCTTAACAGAGCGCGGCTCACTGAATGGTTCAACGGCTGCTGCCTTTTGGGGATATGGACGAATGCCATCCTGATCTACTAGGTGTCTGAAAACAAGGATTTGTCGGTCTTCGAAGTGGCATTTATTTGAGTTAAGAACAAGGCCAGCGTTTCTTATGCAAGTCAGTACAGTATCCAGACATGAATTGTGTTTGCTGAAGGTGCGGCCAAAGATGACGACGTCGCCGAAATAGCACATGCAAATCCATGTGCTATCTAAGCTATCAAGCCACAAAGAACAGTGTCCATAAATCGCTCGAACGTCGCCGGTGCGTTGCACTCCAAATGGCATCACGTTGAATTCGAAAAGGTCGTCAGGGGTTACAAAGGCTGTCTTTCCTTCATCTGTGATAGCACAGATAGTACATGCAAATGCATGTGCTATCTGTGCTATCAAGCCACAAAGAACAGTGTCCATAAATCGCTCGAACATCGCCGGTGCGTTGCACAGTCCAAATGGCATCACGTTGAATTCAAAAAGGCCGTCAGGGGTTACAAAGGCTGTCTTTCCTTTATCTTCAGGATGCATGGGAATTTGCCAGTAGCCCGATCTTAAGTCTACAGAGGAAAAGTGAGAGGTCGAATGTAGACAGTCGATAGCCTCATCAATACGTGGAAGTGGGTACACATCTTTTTTCGTTACAGCATTCAATCGGCAATAATGAACGCAAAATCTCCAGGATCCGTCTTTATTTTTAACGAGAATGACTGGAGCTGCCCATGGACTCGCCAACTCTTGAATGACTCTGTTTTGAATCATTTCGTTCACCTGCTCATTAATAATCCACCGCTCGAATGGCGAAACACGGAATGGCTTTTGTCTAATCGGATTGGCCAAACCCATGTTAATGATGTGACATGTCCGAGAAGCAGGGATTAAGGGCGCTTTGTTTTTCTGCGCAAAGTCGAATGCAGAGACGTGCTTCAAAAGTAGATTCACGAATGTTCGGCATTCACTTGTGCTTATCGACTTATTAACCAATGACAAAACAGCCGTTTCCAAACTGTGACTACAATGCTCTACCGGCGCATCTCTAAGCTCGGTCACCAATAAGGCCTCGTGTTTTCTACTGACGACGACTAACTTTAGACCATCTTGTAACATCACGGGCTCTGTGAAGCAATCGAAAATCCATAAACCAGCGCGTCCACGTCTGATCGACACCACACAATGTGGGATCAACACATTCATTTTCATGCAGTTGGTGTATACTGGTTCTACGTTGGCATCAAAGTTGCCGAAATTGCTGTCGCTGCAACCAACAGCTACACGAACAGTTGATAAAAGTGGTATGATAGTGTCGCCACAGACACACAATGCCATCTCACCATCCACAGGGTTTTCCAAGAGTGCTGGCAGAACATGATCACTCAAAAATATTGTCCCTGTGCGGCAATCGACAGTCGCACCACACTCCCTCAAAAAGTCCATACCCAAAATAACATCATGTGTCGCCTGCGGAATAATCACGAACTCTGTTGGGATAAAGTTGCCTCCGAGAAACACGTCAGCTTGACACACACCAACAGGATGCAGTGGCTCACCACTCACTCCGCAAAACTTCGAAGCTTCATTCCATTTAAAGAAAACCTTCCATCCCAAGGTATCTTTAAAACACGCACTCATGACAGAAATTGTTGCCCCAGTGTCCACCAAAGCCATCACGGGCACATCGTCCACAAAAACACGCACTTTGTTCCTGAGCATCAACACAGGAGGTATTTCTGATATTAGCACATCTCTGGCTACCTCACCTCCATCGGCCGCGCTTGCTAGTTTTCCTGTGGCAAAGGAGACGTGTTGTGACGCCGCAGTGAAGGAGAACGGGGAACACGAGGCGGTGAAGGCATCAAGCTTCTGTAAGATGTAGGGGAGTGATTCCGGAGATGCATGTCCAGTAGTCGTCGCGAGGCAGCAGGTGTGTTGCCCTCAGGTCGTTCTGCGCTCGATCAGACGATCGTGTAAAGTGTTAAGGTGGGCCTTAGTACGTTGCTCGTGGGTTGCCACGAAGTTGTTCGGAAGGTCGTGCAAAGTGTGGTGGTTGGCCATACCGTGGAGCTACATGTAGACGGTTGCAAAATCGCGAATTATGTCCTGGGACACCAAAGGAGTAGCAAACTGTGAGAGGTCGAAACACTGTTTGTTCGTCCATGAATCGAACATTATCTTCCCTGGTGTAGTGGGTTGGTTCGTACCGTATATCATAGGGATAGACCGGGCGTCGCGAAGAAGGCGGACACTGAGGGCGCCAGTCATGGCGAGAAGCTGGCAAGCGTGGTGCTGTCCTTGGCTGTGGGGGTGCGCTGTACTCAACAGCTGCCGCACTAACCATCAATTGCCAAGGGGTCGTAGAAGGGCGGCGGCGCAGTTACAGCCTCACGTGGCACATATACCAAATTTTGGTCGTATACAGAATGGTGATCGACTGCTGAATGTCTCTACTCTCCATAGAGAAAAAGTTCTTCGCAAACAATCTGTCGAATCGTCGAGGACAGGTCTAGGCA